ATAAACGCACAGTATTTGAATGGCATTTGAAAGCTGCAAAGTCTGAAATTCTCGAAGCTCAATATAAACTTGCCGATTGCTATAAAGTTGGTGAAGGAACAATCAAAAATGAAGACAAAGCATTTGCATGGTATCTAAAAGCTGCAGAATCCGGATTTACTCAAGCACAATATAAACTTGCTGTTTGTTATCAAAATGGAGAAGGAACGAACAAAGATGAACAAAAAGCATTTGAATGGTATTTAAAAGCAGCAAAATTTGGAATTCCTGAAGCACAATATAATGTTGGTCTTTGTTATCAAAATGGTAAAGGAATAGAAGATAAAAATAAAGCATTTGATTGGTATTTAAAAGCAGCAGAGTCTGGAATCATTAAAGCACAATTTAAACTTGCTCTTTGTTATCAAAACGGAGAGGGAACAATCAAAGATGAACGAAAAGCATTCGAGTGGTTTTTAAAAGTAACAAAGTCTGGATCTCCCGAAGCACAAAAAGCATTCGAATGGTGTTTAAAAGCAGCAGGGTCATTTTCTGAAGCACAATTTAATCTTGCTCTCTGTTATCAAAATGGTGAAGGAACAATCAAAAATGAACAAAAAGCATTTGAGTGGTTATTAAAAGCAGCAAATTTTGGATTTCCTAAAGCACAATTAAATCTTGCTCTTTGTTATCAAGATGGAAAAGGAACAATCAAAGATGAAATAAAAGCATTTGAGTGGTTATTAAAAGCAGCAGAGTCTGAATTTCCTGAAGCACAATTAAATCTTGCTCTCTGTTATCAAAATGGCAAAGGAACAATAAAAGACAAAAAAAAAGCTTTCGAGTGGTTCTCAAAAGCAGCGGAGTCTGGATTTTCTGAAGCACAATTTAATATTGCTCTCTATTATCAAAATGGTGAAGGAACCAATAAAGATGAACGAAAAGCATTTGAGTGGTTTTTGAAAGTAACAAAGTCTGGATCTCCCGAAGCACAAAAAGTATTTGAGTTGTTTTTAAAATCAGCGGAGTCTGGATTTTCTGAAGCACAATTTAATCTTGCTCTCTGTTATCAAAATGGTAAAGGAACAATCAAAAACGAACAAAAAGCATTTGAGTGGTTTTTAAAATCAGCAGAGTCTGGATTTTCTGAAGCGCAATATACTATTGCTCATTGTTATCAAAATGGTGAAGGAATAATCAAAAATGAACAAAAAGCATTCGAGTGGTTTTCAAAAGCAGCAGAGTCTGGAATTTCTAAAGCACAATTAAATCTTTCTCTTTGTTATCAAAATGGTGAAGGAACAATCAAAAACAAACAAAAAGCATTTGAGTGGTTATTAAAAGCAGCCAATTGTGAATGTTCTGAAGCACAATTTAATCTTGCTCTCTTTTATCAAAATGAAGGAACAAACAAAAACGCATTTGAGTGGTTTCTAAAGTCAGCAGAGGCCGGATTTTCTGAAGCACAATTTAATCTTGCTCTCTGTTATCAAAATGGTAAAGGAACAATCAAAGATGAGCAAAAAGCATTTGAATGGTTTTTAAAATCAGCAGAGTCTGGAATTTCTAAAGCACAATATAATATTGCTCATTGTTATCAAAATGGTAAAGGAACAAACAAAGACGAACAAAAAGCATTCGAATGGTTTTCAAAAGCAGCGGAGTCTGGAATTTCTAAAGCACAATTAAATCTTTCTCTTTGTTATCAAAATGGTGAAGGAACAATTAAAAACAAACAAAAAGCATTTGAGTGGTTATTAAAAGCAGCCAATTGTGAATGTCCTGAAGCACAATTTAATCTTGCTCTCTTTTATCAAAAGGAAGGAACAACCAAAAAAGCATTTGAGTTGTTTTTAAAATTAGCAGAGTCTGGATTTCCTCAAGCACAATTTAACCTTGCGCTCTATTATCAAAATGGTATACGTACATTCAAAGGCAAAGAAAAATCATTGGAGTGGTTTTTGAAATCGGCAATGTCTGAGTATCCTTACGCAATACATGATCTTGTTTTCTGCTTTGAAAACGGAAAAGTAACAATCAAAAATGAACAAAGCGCATCATTGGAGCGGTTTTTGAAGTCGGCAATGTCTGAGTATCCTTACGCAATACATGATCTTGTTTTCTGCTTTGAAAACGGAAAAGTAACAATTAAAAATGAACAAAGAGCATTCGAATGGTTTTTAAAAGCAGCAGAGTCTGGATTACCTAAAGCACAATTTGATATTGTGCTCTGTTATCAAAATGGAAGAGGAACAATAAAAAACGAACGAAAAGCATTTGAGTGGCTTTTAAAATCGGCAGAGTCCGAGTATCCTCACGCACAATTTAATCTTGCTCTCTGGTATCAAAATAGAAAAGGAACATTTAAAAATGAACAAAAAGCATTTGAATGGTATTTAAAAGCAGCAGAATCTGGATATCTTCGAGCACAAAATAATCTTGCTATATGTTATAAAAATGGAGAAGGAACAATCAAAGATGAACAAAAAGCATTCGAATGGTTTTTGAATGCAGCTAATTTTGGAGATTCTTTAGCTCAAATTAATGTTGCTAAATTTTACGAATATGGAAAATACGTTGAAAAAGATCATGAAAAAGCATATAAATTCTTTTTAAAATCTGCTAGTTCTGGTAATCAACTTAGTCGATTTCTTCTAAGATTTAGTTATATAAGAACACAATATATGAAAAAGTTAGAACATTCTTTATTCTGCTTTCTTTTAGAATTAGCTAAATGTGGTAGTTCTCATTTATGTTTTCGAGTTGGACAATGTTATGAATATGGAGAAGGAACACGTAGGAATGATATTGAAGCATTTGATTGGTATTTAAAGGCAGCAGCTAATGGGCACATTAAAGCTCAATTCAACATTGGTAAATTTTATCAATATGGGATAGGTGTTTCAAAGAATCTCGATTTAGCTTTAATGTGGTATCAAAAGGCTAAAGAAAATGGACATGATCGAGCGCCAGAAATGATCGAGTCTTTCAATTTTGAAGAAATTTATTCTGACTAATTATCAAACATTTTACTATTTTTTGTTTTTGTTTAGCTTTAGATATTAAGTTCTATAACGATAGAAAAAGATAATTTCTTATTATTTCTTCCTTTCACTTAGAAAAGTAACTTATTGGATATTTTTTAGAATAAAAAAAACATTATACGTTCATGTTTTCGATATATATCTATATGTACTGTTTTTTAAAAAATAACTCATTTCAATTCTCATTTTATTCTTAAACTTTGATCAGAGCATTCTTTAAATACAGAACATGTATTTGTGTTTATTGATATAATTGAAGTTTTTGAATTGATTAATTTCAAATCAGCAAGTCCTTTAAAAATCTAATAAATAGGACTTCCATAAATATTAGTTTTAACTAAATATGACGTTCATGTTCGCCATCTTTATTTTATTCATAAACTTTCATAGTATTGTCCGCATACTTAAACCACAAAATCTAACAATATGAATGCTTATGTTGACATAGGTAATTGAAGGAAGAATACTCTATCTTTCCGATATGAAGTACGAGTAAAATATATATGTTCCAGAATTTGTTTTAGCTTTATCTTTATATTATTGAAATTAGTTATAAATAGTTCAGGAGATTCTGAAGAAAATTAAATTGGACTTTTCGAAAAAAGTAAATATAGAGTAATGAATTCCTGAAATATATAAATAAACTAGAGAAATTAATCAAGTTTAGAAATATAAATAAAACTGTCTCAAAACATAAATGTTAAAGGATTAATTGTTTTTTTATGGCAACATACAAAACTTGCTTCTGTATTTTCAAATAATGAGATTAGCAAACATTTCGCGTCTCAATCCTGTAATATAATATTTTTTGATATTTAATATCTTAATACTCTCATCAAAGGGCTCTTTAATAGTATTATGAAGCTGGATTTTGAAGTTATTGCGGTTAGGTGCAACTTCCATAACTCAATATTAAGAATTTGATATTGAATCTAATGTCGATTATTTGATGACAGCGTATCGATCGATGTTTAGTTGGGCGTAATTTTTTTTTTGAATATTTTATTGTTTATTGGTTAAATAATTTTTGACATGCAGGCCAAATCACAAAGCTATTTCTGGGATCACATAGTGGTCTTTATAGAGCATTGTTTTATCAGATATTTATTATGTCCGAAGAGTAAATACATAATATTAGTTTGGGCATATATTACAGAGAATATTTATGCAACTCATATGTTTATACTAAGATATAATCCTATGTTACACTTTTCGGATTTCTTTACTACTGTACTGTTGCAAACGTTATTGTACGAAATTTTTTGTTATGTAACATACATAAATAATATCTCTATCAATAATTCTCATTCGATATCCTCTTATATATAGCACAGCATTTTAATGTATATAAAATAAATCAAAATATTATCTTTTTGTTCGGCTAACTTCTATAGTATATACGTATATATATAGAAAATACAAGCATTTACCAATGATATTGTATTAAGCCGAATGAACTTACTATTAATATTCGTTTTTGCGTAAAATTCAACTTCATTTGCATATACCAATAAATAATACATTTCAGAGTCTGTGTATAGAAGAATTTTAAGCGCACTCTATTCTTCCTTTGTTAATTGATGAACGTAAAATATCTCATGACGATGTATTTTGAATTGAAACTTTTATATCCGTTTAAAACTAATTCATTTTCTGTATTTTTGTTACTTATATTAGTTGTTAACAAGAATGTGAAATCTGTATCAAAAATAAATGAAACGATTATTCACTATTTCCATAATGATGATTTTGTGGTATTTTGATTGTGAGCCGAATTAATCAAACAGGTATAAGTTTGAACTCTTAATTAATCAAATAATTAATATTTAGAACCAAGAAAATCTAAAAATCGCCGAACGCAAAAAAAGAAAAACAGAGCCGAATATGCTGACCGTGGTGTAGATGGAAGAATTCCCCTCAAAACCGCGAGAAGTGGTATTAATGAAATTTAAAAAGGTAGCCGAAAAATTAAGAAAGTTAATAATAAAGCGGGTCAATAAGTCCGCTAATAAGATTACAATCGCTGAAGGGCTTGATTCTGATCCAGAAACTAATCTCAGGCTCATAAAAGATTTTCTCAACTGAAAGGAAGCTAATTACTGACGGGCTACTTGGAGCCGAAGTGGCAAGTTGAGCAGGTCGATTAACCCTCATTGGCTTAGCTGGATTTGTGGAATTAACTTGTTTATTGCATTCTCTTAAAGACGTAGTGCTATTTTTAAGTAAATTTAATTATGCTAATCGTTAGTTTCTTTATGAAGAAATTTAATGGAAAAACGCTTTGAATTCGATGTGCTAAATGATTATCAAACCAAAACGTTAAGAAATTGACTACACAAAAGTTAAGAAAAATATGCTTTCGTTTCAGTCTGCATTTTATTATTGTTTGTTATATATAAAAGTAAAAATTTCTTATGTTCTTCTCTTGTAGCTCAAACATTTTAATGGACATATGTGTGCGAATTTACAATTGATTACTCAGGAATTCCATAAAATATAGAGAAAGAAATTTATTTTAAAAATGCAATACAACAGAAAGTTTAAATTGAGTTAATGAAATTTGAGATATACACTTTTAATTCTTTTATTTTAAGCAATAGAATGCATAATAATTTTTCAAAGTAAAAAGGTTAAGAATTAAAATTTCAACAAAAAGGATGAAAGAAGCAATCTCTTGACTAATTTCGCAATTTTATCTACTAAATTTTAAAAGAACTTTAATAAAAGGCTTTAGTCAATTCTATCTATACATTAATATATTTATTGTCTTTCTAACTAGTTAATTGATAATTTTAAAGCAGTTCTGTTAAAATTTATTTAGCATTTCAAATTTATTAATTCGTTGCATCTTAAAATTGTAATTGTTGCACGCAGTATTTAATAATCCTTTTTTAATCAGATTTTGATCAGATAATAATTATGAAAGTACTTTAATTTTTCTCCTTGCAATTTATTAATTTTAAATAATATTTTGGATTATTATTCTCTTGCAAGATTTATTTTTTATAATTACTCTTAAAAATATTTTTAATAAATAATAAAAGCTTATACTTATATAATTATAAACTTAATATTAGAATTCTACTAGAAATAAATTAGTCTATTAAAATTTGAAGTAGAAAAATATTTATTTTAATAAATACTTTACAAATTGAAATACTTTCTTTATTTATAAAATTATCAGCTCTTAAATAATAATTAATTTAGCCAAAATATGAAAATACTTTATTTTAATTAAAATTTTTATATTTTTTTGTCTATTTCAATTATTTTTATATAATCTGTAATATTATTATAATAATATAAATTTCTTGTAATTTATAATTTTTAGACATTACAATTTTTAATTAATTAAATATTTTTTAAGTTCTTATAATTTATAATAAATATAATTAATATATTAATTATAGAAATTAATACTTATTAACTTTTATTTTAGTAATTTATTAAATATTTATTAATTATATATAGCTTTTAGATTTATTATTTATTAGTTATTTATAAGAATTTAGCTTAATTTCTTATAAAATACTAATTAATATTAATAATTTTATATAATCTTGAAAATATTTATATTTGAAGACTTGAAACAAATATATTTTAAATTTTAAATTTAATTTAAATTTTTATTTTAATAATTATTTTATTATTTTTAAATTATAATCATTAGTAAATTTGATAGATATCAGATTAGTAATGATTAGTAAATATGCTAATTATTACTAATTTTTTGATTACACCAACCCAAAATCTGTGCAAAACTCTGAAAATAGAAATTTCAAAAAAGTGTAATTCAAAGAAATTGTAATGATTAGTATAATTACAGATCATTATAATTCTTTGGACAGAAATTAAATAGATAAATAATAAATAGATCAATTATATGCATTAATATTTATTTTTTTTCTTTGAAGTTTACTACAGATACAAATTTGACTTTAAAATTCTTTACCTATTAGTTTTTCAAAACATATATTTATTTAACAAAAAAAGGTTTTTTTGTCAAATCTTGACACAATATGTATCTCTTGATCTATAGATTCTATTGAAATTATATTATATTCTTTGATATAGTATAGATGAGGATAACTGTACTTTTCTGGCTCATTTAGCATAATATTATACCAATAAATCATAGAAGATTATATAGATTCTTTATTAATCCTCAAAAAAATTATAGAAAGAGCAGTACCTTTTGAAAGAAAATATAAAGATTAATTTATTCAAAATTGCTAAATTTGAAATTATATTTTACTATTCTTCAAGTTATATTTATCTTTCTATATCAAACATCTTTATCTGATTTATAATAGCTTTGGTCTTCAGCTGAAGTTACTGTAATATTACTGAACTACTCTTTATCATAAAAATTTCCAGATATTTTCAGAATTTTGCTGCTTTCCAAATGAATCATATTATAAACTTTTATACAAAAGTTTTTACTTTCAGACTCTTATGATAATATATTGAGAAATATATTTAACGTAGTGATTATATATGATAATCCTTCAATAAAGTTTGGATACAGTAGATTTTTTAAATTCTTTAATAAAATCACTTTTGCTTTGATAGTATCCAAAGGTAATTTCTATAATATCTTGCCAAATCTCATAGTTTTATAATAAATTGTCTTACTTATTATTAGAACCAATTTTTTGTATTTTACTTATAAGTATAGTTTAGAATTTATAACAAATTAATCACAATTAATATACTTAACTTACTGTATTTACTATCTGTTACATGACATTTTTTCTATTCAATGATCAGTATGGGTTTTTTATATATAACTTGTAAAGTGTTTCATATATTTTCATTAAAAAACTATTCAAGATATCATATTTATGAATTGTCAGAATCATATGGTAGTGCTAACTATGTAATTTAGAAAAACTACATTCTATAGTGGATAGTGATGAGAAGATTCTCTTAAATTCAGTTAATCAGTTGGCAATAAGAACCTATATCTATTTTCAAAATTTATTATTGGTTCTTTAAAGTTTAATTGATTTTGCTTTATTTTATCTCAAATTCTTTTAAATCATTTTTAGTAAACAACTCTCATCTACTTATCATATATATCCTACTGAATTTTATATAAAGCATGCAGAGTTCATTACAAATTATATCATTTCATGTATCAAAGATATTATTTAATGTAAAAAGAGTGATTTTCATGATATATTGATAGTCTACAACTATCATCACTTTTATTTGATCTAATTTATCAAATAGCTTCAATCCAGAAAAATGAGAAATTTAAAGAAGGTGGCTATCAAAGTTGTTTAGTAATTCTATTCCTTTAACTTTCTTCAAAATATCTTGAATGAAGTTTAATTGATATTTGAAAAGATCAAGATCAATATAATGCATATGATCAGATATACAAGCTTTATAAATATTTAAGTTTCTATAATAATTTAACAATTTTAATTTAATTATAACTCAAAATTATTTAAAAATAATCACAAAAGAATTAGTATTTAAATACTTATGAGAACTTTCAGAATGCATTTTCAATATTATGTATGGAAAAATCCTTATCTTAACCTTTATTTATAATCTATTACATATTTTCTAATATTTTAAGGTTTGTATTCTCTGATGCAAGATTCATATTATTGAGATTATCTCACAAAACTATACAGATGTGACATAGTATTTTGCATCTTGCTAATTTATATATTGCAATCATATCATTAGCTTTAAGCATATTCACGAGAAAAACTAAAATATATACTACAAAAATTACTGATTACCCTTGTACTCCAAAATATAATTTATTAGATTTTTCTGCTAGAGAACCAAGCATAATTTTAAAGCACTTGTAATATACTTCATGTTACAAGCTTCAAAAATCTTTGATAGTTTTTATTATTAAGTCTTGAACTTTGGATAAAAAATCCAAAAGAACTTTAGCTTCTGATTTATTTTGAAGCCAATTTGAAAAGTTGCTGAGTATTAAAAATATAGGATGTCCTGATATCTTGTCAAGACTATTGAAGGTAGTAGTATCTGAATATAGAATGATTAATAATAGATGATATAATGGAAGAAGCATTTTTTTAGTCTCATACCACTAATTACATTTGTATTATTTTCCAAATACTCTTATTTCAACTTCATCTTCCTGATAATTACTTAATATTTACTGATTTGTTAATTTTGTTAATGATACTATAGTAATTGAAAACTTATCATCATCTTTTTTTTAGAACGCTTTGTTAATTGAAATTATCTGTTATTTCTAATTATTATAGAAATATTTGAATAGCTCAAAAAATTGGATGATAATAGAGAGTAAAAGTGATGTTAGAGAAAGTTTTGATAATTTTTTCTTTGAAGTCAATCAAAGATGATTTTATTTAGTTAAGGTAATCTTTTCTACTTTTTGTGAATTTGAATAATAATAATTCCTTCAGATTATCATACTTATTAAAGAATTTAATTATTTTATCCCTAATCTTATTCAAAATATTATTCTCTATTACTAATTTCATAAAGTCATGGTAAATATCATTGGACTATTATGCTAAGTATTCCAGTTCAATTTTTTCTTTAATAATTTCCAAAGCATCATTCAAAGTTATATCTTAAAGATTTTTAGAATCAAAGCTAGTATCAGTATCTACTAGTAGTAATTCTTTAGAACTTTCTTCTAAAACCTCTTTAACAACTTCCACAGGTAATGTCATTTCTTTAGTAACTTCTACAGGTAATATTGTTTCTTCTTCAATATTTAAAGGTAATATCTTTGTTTTATTATATTCTATCAATATTATTAGAAGAGATGATCTTATAATTAGCATATTTCATAAATCTGCATCATGCTCTGGTTTTTGTATTGGCTGAGATGATTGTAATCTTTGCAAGGTATAATCTGTTGGTTGAGAAATAGTTCTTCTTTCATGATATACTATATTGGCATACTATATCAGTTTACTAGAAGTTATAAAATATTATTTGCAAATTTGACAATGATATTTAGTCATTAAATAATAGATTTTTATCAGAAGTTAAGTAAATTTATATATTAATTGAAGAAAAATAAAACTTTGATTTATTTTCAAGTATAGAGATCTTCCTAAATACATTTCAAAGACTGACCCCTAGACCTCTTGTGATGCATTTAGAGAGGTTTTCTATATTTTAGAGATATTGTCATTATCAATAAATAAGTTTTTTTTTCATATAACAAATACTAATAATTCATTAAAGTTACATAGATAATGACTAGCATTATAACATTGATATAATATTGATATACAGTGTGATCCATAAGTATTCAGAATTAAAAAATTACTCATCACACACAACTAATGACTTAAATTACATGAAATTTATGCATTTCAAAGATTAAGACCAGCTAATTTATTATATTATTTTTAATATGATATACACTCGCCATTACTTTTTATAACAAGCTCACAATGACATCTCATAGACCTAATT